GCTTAGAAAAGCATCTCGTTAATATTAGTATATTACTATTAATTATATATATAATTAATATAATTACTATAATTGGTAATATATTTTTAGAATTAACTATGTATGGGTTGCTATAATAGTATAATCGCTATTATTATTATTTTCTACTGCACCTTTAAAATAATAATATGTGTATTGCATTTTATTTTATTATATTTAATTTGACAATTTTTATAACTATAACTAGCGGTATTACATTAAATGTAAATGTAAATGTGGGGGTGCGACTTTAAATTTTAAAGTCGCACCCCCACCACCAGCACCCACAAATCTTTACTGCGTTTAACATTAAATGTAAACATTACATTAAAATAGTGTACGTCAAGTAGCGGCCTCTGCCACCACACTTTTCCTTGACTATTCCTTGAACGACTTGTTAACAAACTATGATGTTATCGGTGGTTACAATCAAGTAATTGTCACCGTCGAGAACGTCCTACATACAATCGTTGGTAATAACACTTCGGTGATAACAGCTAAATGGGTAAACCGAATTGGATTTGAGGTGCGCATATTGGGTGAAACCCAATGAAAACTAACCTATGTCAGGGGAGGGGGACTCCTCAACAAGTCCAATGAGTGAAGGGGGTAATGAAACTTAACTTAAACTAACCTAATGGGAGTGGTGCGGATGAAACTCGATGTAAACAAACTTGCCGCACGTCTATAGATTGTATATAATAAATAATTTTTAAAAAATTTATCATTGGCTACCAAACGCATAGCTAAGCTATTTCAAACATCAAAGGTACCGCCATATTATAACCCACATTACCGTCTACATTTTATAATTGCTGTCTGCGTTTAATCAAAGTTATCTTTTTCTAAGAATTTTGATCATTTCCTACCAGACGCTTAGGTAATCATATTTCCAACGTCAAAGATGTTACAATATATTAATGGTCACTGTCGTATGCATTTTATGAGAAAAATGGCAACGTTGTCTTTTTTCACGCCTACGCGTTTTATGAGAACTATTACTATCATCGTTTAACAGACGCTTAGGTCAGCATATTTCCGACATCGTTTGTGTAGTATCTGAACCTATTTAAACCAACCCAAACTTGTCTAAACAAGATCTTTGACCCCTATAAAAAAACGTCACATCAATTTCAGTCTCATTCACTTTATCATTATCTTTTCTAAAGTGATTATACCAAAAACCATTTGTCTGATTATTTCTATTTGTTGTTCTGAAGAATTTCTATGACTTTTGAAATGAAATACAGTAAGTAATACATTTATATATATTTTTCATTTAAACTGTTTTCTACTGACTTTGGTTACTAGTTATGTTTAGAGTTGTTTAATACTTCTTAATTTTTTATTTTAGAATGGAGCAATTAAAGGAACAGTTGAACGATCAGAGTACATTAAAAAGATATTCAAAATTAAGTGATCTGGAGGAACACACGCCATACAAAGTCATATCTATGAAAAATACAAGCACACGAAATAGGGTTGTCGTTGTTGGTTGTCTATTCAACAATATGAATGTGTTTATCCCAAGATTGAAATTAACTAATGAAGAAATCGAAGCTTACAATATAAACAATGATGACAACAAATTACATTTATTATATAGAGGCAAAAGTGGAAATGCATAATTGTTTGATTTTCAGTAATTTGTTAATATTTTGCCTTGTTTTTTAAACTTATTTATATAAAATAAAAAAAACTTATAATTATAAACTTGTAAGATTAAAAATTTAATAAAATATACTATTTTTTTATTTTATACTGACACGGCCCGCGTCGCTTCGTAATACACGATGCCCCGCGACTCGTGCCACCTTTATCAGCCGTCGCCCTACTATGAGTATTTGACTGACCAACACCGCGTGTTATACGCTACGGTGCAAAGTCCAGCAAATGCCGCACGGCCAACGACGACCCGCCGCAAAGGGTGCGAGAGTCTTCCTCCCGTTGTGAAAGCGACAACGTCGATCAACCGATCCGCACCCGCGCACCGTCGCCTACAACGCTGCTAACCATTTTGCCGTCCAAGGATTACACCGGACATCGCGTCGTCGACGCCAGCGAAAGTGCCGCGATATTATGCGAAGATTATTATTACTGTGTTTATCTTTTCGGTTTGTTTTATTTTTGTTAACATAATCTGTTGTCGCTCATTTAATAAACGGCCCACGGGTCTCTACCCTCAAAACCAGTGTCGACCACATTTTTGCGACGTAAGTCGTGTCAATACAATTTTTTCATATTTATTTACACTATATGTATTTGTGTATAATGAATATTAAATATAAGTCTGTAGTACTAAGCAGCACAAAGAAGAGTTTTACACATTAAATAGCAAATTTAGTATACGCTATGGTATTTGTAGCACGTTGTACTATGTATGGCATGTAGTAGGCTGTTTATAAAAGTAGTAGGGACACTGTGTCGGTTTACCGAACAGCGTATCCTGGAATCGTATAATCTCGATTCAACAAGTCTGAACATGTTAAAACCTGTCTAAACGCGTTCAAATCCCTGTTCATCCTGTTTAAACCCCGTCTGCTTGTGTTTACAACTGTTTGTACCATATCTATCGGTGAAAATTAGACTATTAATTGCTATTGGGTTTAAATTAGTTAATAACTTCACCGTGGTGTATGCATAGCGCTATAATCGTTATAAGATTTTCTATATAAACGGACGTTGCTTTGTATACTTTAAGAATGGCTGGTTCTCTCGCTACAATTGCTAAATTCTATAACAAACAAACATTTGTTAAACCCCAACCTCACAGTGAATTAATCGATTGCACTGATTACGTTTTGAATTTCAATCCTCGTAAATTCGTTCAGATAGGATTGGATCCAAAAGATCGATTTAACGTAACTATTCGTTTACTATCGTCAACCCGTTACATACTTATAACGATAGATTTCCTACAACGGATTTATACGTTGATGGGTAATATTCTGTCGCTAATTTTCGACCCTGTATCAAGACAAAAGATTATTTTACTCAAGGATGAATACGTCACACTCTCAAAGACTACGTTTCAAGGAGAGTCTTCGCTAGTCTTTGAATCACAAGCACAAGATGAATGCCGAGTGTTACTCACCCAATCAGACATTTTAAAACTCAGCGCTTTGGAATGTTGTATCTTTGAGACTATCAATCAAAAGATGACNGCTTTGGAATGTTGTATCTTCGAGGCTATCAATCAAAAGATGACTGTAATTCAGACATTGGTTCTACAACAGTTGGAACAGATGGCTCAATATGTGAAATCTCAGTATGAAGTAAATGTGGAAAACAAATGTATGTTGATCAAAGCGGTTTCGGATTATACGATTAGAAACAGTTTACCCAAAAGCGATCTGAGCTACATAAGCCAAATAAAACAATTTGCAAGCCAGCAATTGGAAAAACGGTGGACGATGCTGGAAGAATATACTAAAGAAATGGTGAGTTAAATTTTTTTTTTCTAATTGAGTAGAACATATTTAATAAATATATATCATTTTTTTCAGTCTTCTAACGGAGAAAACATATGCTCGACATTTTTCGGGTCGCTGGCCGATGATACAACAGATGCAAATATTCAGTCGAAAACAATCATACCATCAAGTACAAACAATCAAGAAATACCAACAGTAGTTGTTAGTAATAGCTATCCGTCGTAAAACGACAAGTATCTAAAACATGTATATAATTTATAAAAAAAAAATTGTTTAAAATAAACGTATGTTGCATTGACATGTGCTATTATTATTATATACTGAGACATTGTGAAAATCTCGTTTTTAACGTAACTTGTAATTAAAATTATAATGGATACAAATACGTTTAAATAATAATGTTTAAAATAATGATTATTATCTAAGATTTTATTTCTCTAAAAAAACTATGTTTCTATAAAACTCAAATCATTTTTCTTCTTTTTAATTCTTCAGAAAGGTTAAAACATGGTCAAAAACCTAGCTTTATGATATCATATGCATGTAAAATACAGTAGGGTATTCTTAGAGTTTTGGTAGATAATACTTTACCATCAAAATGTAACATCTCATTACGTAACTATAGTTTAAGTACTATGGCATCTTACACGTACAACTATTGTGCTGTACAGAAGAGAAAAAAACGTTGTAGTATATATATATATATATTTACAGATATATACACGCATATACATATATTTTTTTAGAAAAAATACAATTTCTTACTACATTATGTTACATTAAAAAAATGTTTTAAAACTACTTATATACATGTATATTTACAAAAAAAAAATTCAATTCTTGACGATATTATTTTACAATGATAATAATTTAAAAACTATAGGTCTTCCGATGGTGGTATAGCATAATGCCCGTGGGCTAACGTGTCGATTCTGTTGTTGAGCGTGTAGCGCTTATCATCAAAACAGTTAAGCGCCAACTTGGTTGTACGTAAAGTGTGTACTTCGTGCTCAAATGAACGGATTGACACGTTCTGTCGGTACGGAGTGTATGGTAGCGATAATGTCGGTGGAGACTCACCACCACGTATCACTCCGATGACCGCACGGGCATTCTCTCCAGCCAATGATCGTTTTGACGCATCGTCACCATCACCATCGTCTTTGAACAAACACCGTTTGTAGTCGTCCAAAGACAGATGGTTCCGGACGACGTGTCCGCGGATTCCCTTAGACTTTATGAGTTCGCTGCCTTCCATGTCAAATGCGTAGCACTTTGATCGAAATGCAGCAATCTCAAAGAGAGTGAGGTCACTGGTCTCGTCTGAAAACAAGCCAGGCATCTTCTTTCTATCGATGGAGTAGCAAGGGTAATCCCTGGGCAGTCTATATGCGTCCACGTGCACCAGTAAATGGGGGCTATCAGCTAAATCCTAATAGAAGTCGACTACTCTGAGCAGGTATATGAAGGAGTCTGAGAAAAATTAAAAAATATATAAATATAATAAAAAATATTTCTTCTAAATAATTTCTCAATTTTAAAATATTTTTATTTTGTATGGTTGTACTCACCAGTATCCATGTAAACCAATTCGATTGCACTGCCATAATGTGGTTGAAATACGTCGTAGGAGTACTTGTACATTAGCGTCTTGCTAATGTCAAGCACTGCTAAGCTGACGTATATTGGTTTGATAAACTTGACCATCTTTGTGTCCATTATGACGGCGCACAACCTTTCGTCGTATTTGATACAGTCGCTGAAGGTTAGTTGGTTTACGAGCTTGCTTAGACGTTCGGGACTGGAGATTAGCTCAATGCGGATGCGATTCCGCATGTTCTCCATTGTTTTCCCTATAAAATGTAAAAAATTATCGAATAACCCACTTTAGCATTGAGCAATTACTTACCAAAGACGGCATTATTCATTAGTTTGAAAAATGCTATTTCAAAAGCATTTGCCGCCTTTTTCCGCATTTCAGTGTTCAACTCAATGTATGGTTTCAACCAAGCACTTTGTTGAAACTCTAAAACGCGGTGCACCTGCAGTACAAATATTTATATTAGTATCATCGCTTATAGTTTATAGGTTAATTATACATACTTTATCGACTTGCAGTCCGTGTGCGATTGCTTGTTGTAAGTTGGCATAGTGTAGGACGTAACGCTGTTTGGGTTTCAAAGTGGCCATGAGTTTGGTCTCTTTGGAACCCGGCGGTACATCGTTGACAGGCAAGAACGGCAAGTCGTTGTGCTCGTCATGNCAAGAACGGCAAGTCATTGTGCTCGTCATGTAGCTCTTGTGGATACAATACGTCCACTTCATATATACGCCCCATATTACCAATGTCCGATTGGAACGATTTGAGGTCAGCCAGAGGGTCTGCTCCTTTATACCACCGGAAGCCACCCAACCAATCGTGTACTGTGCACGATCCATGATACTGGTTTTGACGGATCGTAGTCAGGTGTCTTAGAATTGTTGGCCTTTGCATAGTGCTTGACGGCCTGCACTAGCCCACCACGAATGCCCTGCTCCACCATCAGTAGCATGTCATAGTCGTTCAAGAGCTCCAGCTTCATCCCAGTGTACTTCAACATACAATCGAAGCTAAAATAAGGTGCGGTGTAATAGTACGCCGGATCCAAATTGTATGTTGAAATACAGATGTCGCGGAAGTTCTCAAACACATCACATAAAATATTTTCGATCAACGCGATATTTGTGGTCTCCCTTGACGTGTCTCGCCAAAATGGACCACTTGAAACAAGACTGATCGATATTCTGTGGGTTGATGATTGCTTTTCTTTGATTAATCTCTGGTAGGACAGGAATATATGATGAGCCCGCGAGGGTCGTATACGCTAAGCATAAGACCGTCGATATGCGATAGAGAAAAGCGACTACCCCTCCACAAGTATTCTAAATTTTGATAGAATATATCTTCAAAAATAGTACAATTTTTTTAATCTTCAATTTTTATTTCTATTGAATTTGTACGCCATTGACCTTTGAAATATTCACATATAATAGAACATTTAAGCCCTGTTTTTCGGCAGCCACAATTTTTACTAGCTCCAGCACCTGACTAAAGGCCGTTTTATGACAATTATCTTTATTATTAGCAGAAATTCCGGTTAACATTATAAAATTGTTGTTTTGGAATGTACAATTTAGCGTTTAGTTGGATTTAAACAATATATCGTCAAATCAATTACCTACTCTATCAGTTGTATTTTAATATACACTACACTTTAATGATACAATAAATAAATAAACTCACACATACACACAGATTGGAAAATAAATTTTAGTACTCATATTAAATGTAATGTAACTCGAAAAATATTTGTTTAAATAAAAAAATATAAAATACCTTTTTTATTTAAAATTGTTTTTTAAACAACTTTTGTACATAACTTTTTTTTGTAAGTTAAATATTTTTTGAGAAAATTAAAAAAGCTCATATTTTTTAACTTTTGCGAGGCTGTAAAAAAAAAGCTGAAGTCTTATCAATGAGTACTTTTAGTATGTCATTATACATATCTTAATTCAACTTTAAAAAAAAAAAAATTTGGTTGGGAATTTTTCCGCTATTGCCCAAAATTTCTCCTTCGTTAACTGGACTATATGCACTTGTAATTAAGATACTTTGATATCATAAAATTAATATCCTAATTATATTAAGAAACAAAAATGATTTAATCATGATTTTGCTATTGCCATGTCTATGTCATGAAAAAGAGTCACATATCAAATAAATGTACAGTTCTCAAAAAAATTTGAGTGAGTTTAATAAAATAAATATTGCTTTTTAGAATTACCATTTTTATCCCATGTAAGTTAATTTAATTTGTTTTAAATTTAATTTCAGTTACAAATATGATTTTTTGGTTTGTATACATGATTCTAAGCATATAACATTAGTGAACTTTAATTTCTTCTATCAAGTATTAGAATATTGTGAGATCAATATTAGAATGAATTTTTATATTGAAATGACAGTATTGTAGTTAAATATCTTGTATGTTAATTATTCTTATAGTAATACTTTCACTTTTAAAAAAAAACGGTAGCACAGTGGGGTCGAGGCACAGTGTAGACGAGGCATAGATGGGACAAGTATAGATGATATCTGACAGTGATTAAAATCACTATCATAAGAAACGCTTCGATGCAAATCTGTATATAGTGTTTCATTTAGAGAAATTGGTGGATTATTCTAAAAGTAACATCAATTCTTATTTCTTTAATTATATCCTGATTAGTAGTTCTTTGATTTTAAAATATAATATATGAATAAATACTAATTATAGTTTTTAAATTTAGTATGAAATTGTGAGGCCAGCTATGATGTATGGTTCATAGTGTTGGGCGGTTGATAAGAAAGTAGAGCAGAGAATAAGTGTAGCAGAGTTGAGAATGCTTAGTTGGATGAGTGGAGTGACTAGAGAAGATAGGATAAGGAACGAGCATATAAGAGGAAGTATAGGTGTTGCGTCAATCGTGGATAAGATGACAGAAAATAGACTTAGATTGTTTAGTCATGTTATGAGGAGAGAAGAATCGGAAGCTGTAAGAACAGTTTTAGGAATCAATGTTGAAGAAAGAAGAGGCAAAGGACGAACAAAAAAAGAGATGGAGGGATATTATTGGATGCGATATAAAGACGGCTGATGTGTGCGTAGATGAAGTGAGAAATCGTATCAAGTGGAAGTTTAATATAAGAGTGGCCGACCCCAAGTAGTTAGGATAAAGGGCCAGGAAAAAGAAGGAGTAATGTCATCGTTCACTGTCCATGCCGGTGTGGATCTACGTCCATCCGCCTTGTCACTCCATTCACAAGCCACTATCATTGTTGACATTCGCTTATACTGCCACTGCGAAATTGAAGCCATCGCTATAGTCAAGAAAGTCTGTTAACCATTGCTTCAGCGATGGTCATCCTCTCGATCTCCTGACCTACTTATGTGAGTTGTGGCTTGTCCCTGATGAGTCCCTTATCTAAATATATGTGATGAAACGAGTAAGATTATACTTATGTGTGTAACCGGCAGAAGAATCTCTCGAGTTATCTACATCCGAGCCCATAGGCAAACGATCTTCGAGACTTTAACTGCAGAGATTATAGCGAACCTGGACGCATAACTACCGACAAGGGGCCACTGGCAAGACGTTTTACGCGTTAGCGAACGTCTGACATCTGTGGCAGGGACGCCAACGACGCGTGCCGTACTCACCGTTGTGTTGGACATTTATTATTTTGTAAATATTCATGTATGTATGAGTAAATAAGGCCGACTCCAAATAGTTGGGATTAAGGCGAGGAAGAAAAATAAGAAGAAGATGTATGAGTAAATAGTTTTTGTATATTGTTTTTATTTTAATTTGAAATGATGCTTATGTATATAAAACCAGTATAAATAAAGTTTACCCCATCAACTGTATTAACATTCTAATTCCATCTTCTTTCTTAGTTTATCGGCTCTTTAAGTGTCATCACTACCATGAATAATCTAACAGCGTGATATAACGTTAAAAAAAATTTTGTAGCTACTTACTGTTGCTTTATGGAGTCTTTATATCCAGATTTTTTAGCAATGTATATAGTTAATGGAGGTAGCGTAAACAAGTTTAATTGAGTTAGACTGCATTTTTCTTGTTCGTTCCATGATTTAGCAATTATATCATTAGCTACCGACGTATCAACCTAAAAAAAGTTATGTTATAACTACCAAAATTAACCAAGTTTTACTATTAAAATAGAACAAATACTCTATGATCAAGAGTGAACTGGTTTTGGAGGGTAGAATATTATGTCTCCACGGATCGCGCTATAAAAAAGTATTAGTTTCACTAAAATAATATCTTATTATTACTCATCATGTCATTGCTGGAAGATTATTGAATAATGATCATATCATTTACTAAAATGCATTAGTTTATAAGATATTCATTTAAAAAGTACTTCTAATAATATACTAATTATATATAATTCGCTTATGTCTATTATGGTAATGATTATGTTAATAATATATAATTATTATTTTTTAAATTACTTATACCCACTATCTACTTGAATGTAGTAATTTTAAGATAATTATATTAGAAAACTTTTATATTATATGGCTATAATTAATTACTTTACAACCTTATTAATTAGGTAGTTCTATGGATTATTAATTTAAAATTCTGTGACTAATATTCATAGGTGAAAAAAATTGGTTTTTGAGATTGGTTCATCAGTTAAAAATACATGTAAAAAATAAAAAGGTTTAAAAATACAATTAGCTAATTGTTTCGTTGCAATGTTGTCGTTCGTAGATACACATCGCTTATTATTAAATGAAGCTCTATTAAGTGATATAATCAAGGAAGTATCAAGATACAGTGTTGTAACTGAAGGCTTAAATATAACCATATTAAATAATATAATAATATGTATCATTTTTTGTTTCAATGCGAAGCTGAGAAGGTATTAGTTTTACTATGATGCGTTTTTTTTTTTTTTGTAATACAATTTTTTCATGAGAAGTAGTATTTATATACATATTTCATTCGACATACATACATATATTTTTAAATCGGACTATTTCCCTATATACGAGGGGGGCTCAAATCTAAAAAATGCATGTAGAAAGTAGAACTTATTCAACTAAACTTTTGAAAGTGTTTCGGAAAGTCTGACACTTTTATATATATCTTAAATTAAAGCTAATGTAATATACTTTATTATGGTAAAAAACTTCTTTTTTATATTAGCTTCGATGCGAAGCTGAGAAGGTATTGGTTTTACTAAGATATGTTTTTTTTTTTTTTTTTTTTTTTTTTTTTTCCC